GCTACCATTAATGCTAGCAGTATTCATGCTACTTCCACATGCTACTCTGAAAATCACTTCCAGGTCTATTAACAATAGTATCAAGAAAAATACTATCCTGATTACTTCTGATGTACTAGGATTACTAGTTTCTCACAGTGATTAATAGCTCTTGTCAGCTGTTGAGCTAGTTAATAGGTATGCCCTCGTTGTCATCTGTTGTGATTTTATTTTGAAAGGATGCTTCCTGTTATGCTGCAGAGTGCGCGCGAGAGTTCAATAATAAAAACTAAGTGTTGTTCCGGTGAAAAGCCGATGCCCCACGTGTGATTATTCCTCCGTCTAGACAATATAAGTATCTTCAATATTCATGCAGATTCCGCTGGAAGACCCGTCTCTGCTAACAGGTTATGGGCCCAGGAAAACATTGAAGCTACGCCAGGGGAAAGTTTACCACCAGAAAAGTCGCAAAGTACAGCGTGTTCGGTGAGGGCTAGCGTGCTAAGTTAGCACCATGAATAAGCGTGCTGGTGAACCCAGTGGCCGATGGGCAAGGTTGGTTTTTGACGGAGATAAGAATTATGAACTGTGGGAGACAAAATTTTTTGGACATCTTAGATTACAAGGTCTAAAAGACACAATATTGAAAAGTGATGACGACGATGAGGACGACGAAGATAAGAATGCCCAGGCCTATGCAGAGTTAATACAGTTCCTGGATGATAAGAGTTTATCGCTCGTGATGAGAGAAGCTGCCGATGATGGACGCGAGGCACTGAAAATTTTAAGAGACTATTATGCAGGAAAAGGTAAACCAAGAATTATCAGCCTTTATACCGAACTGACTTCTCTGAAGAAAGCAAGCAGTGAGAGCGTCACGGAGTACATCATACGCGCAGAGACATTTATTACAGCCCTGAGAAATGCTGGAGAGACACTTAGTGATGGTCTGCTTGTAGCGATGGTGTTAAAAGGTTTACCAGAAACATTTAAACCTTTTTCCGTTCACATTACGCAAAGTGAATCAGAAATCAAGTTTGCGGAATTTAAAACGAAACTCCGCAGCTATGAGGACACTGAGAAAATGCGCTTAATGGAACAAGAGGATAACATCATGAAGGCGAGAGTGCAACCCAGCGTGAGACCCGCAGCAGCTGCTAATGACCACAGGAGAGACATGTCAGACATAGTCTGTTTTAAGTGTGGCCAACGGGGACACAAGGCCAGAGCATGCCGCTACAGACAGTGGTGCGGTCACTGTAGGAGCAACACCCATCGAGAGTCGACTTGCAGGAGACGACAACGGAATGATGAAGCACGAACAGCCTCGGAGGAGGGCGACAACGCAGAGAGCGACGACACCTATGTCTTCCGGATGAGCGATGACTACGCGGCACCTCAACAGCCACAAGACATCAGGACCAAAGGCCTAATGGTGGATACTGGCGCAACATCACACATCCTGAATGATAAAACAGCGTTCAAGAAATTTAATGACGACTTCCAGCCGGGAACGCACTGTGTGGAATTAGCTGATGGCACCAGGTGTAAAGGAGTGGCTGAAGGCAGAGGAGAAGCAGAGGTGTGCTTGATTGACAGCAGAGGGAGACAGTGTAAAACAACACTGAAAGACGCCCTATGCATTCCCTCATTTCCACAGAATATCTTCTCTGTGAGAGCGGCCACCACGAACGGAGCCACTATCATCTTTAAGAAAGGAAGGAACGTCCTTCAACACAGAGACGGTACAAAGTTTCACATCCATGAGCACAACAGACTTTATTACCTTGAGACTGTAAGTGAGTACGATGATAAGTGTAATAATTGTTTTGATGTGTAGACATGGCATGAAATTTTGGGACATTGCAATCATAGTGACATTCTGAAGCTACAAAATGTGGTTGAAGGTATGAAAATCAAAGGGAAAACTGACAAAGAAAGTTTGAACTGTGAGGTGTGTATTCAGGGAAAATTTGTCCAGACTAGGAATAGAAACCCTGACAGGAGAGCTGAGAAACCTCTCGAGCTGGTACATACGGATCTAGCAGGGCCGATAGATCCAGAATCACGAGATGGACACAGATATGCATTATTGTTTACCGATGACTTTTCCGGTGCAGTATTTGTATATTTTCTCAAAAACAAAAGTGAAACAATGCAAGCAACTGAAATCTTTTTGGCCGATACAGCCCCACTCGGGAAGGTAAAGTGTATCAGGTCAGACAACGGCACAGAGTTCATGGCAAAGAGTTACCAGGTATTGTTAAACAAACATGGAATAAGACATGAAACTTCAGCCCCATATTCCCCTCACCAGAATGGTACAGCGGAACGTGGCTGGAGAACACTTTTTGATATGCGAAGGTGCATGCTTATTGAGAGTGCCATACCAAAGGAATTATGGACGTATGCAGTTCAAACAGCGGCTATCGTGAGAAACAGATGCTTTAACAACCGGACAGGGCAGACACCTTACTTTTTGCTGACTGGGCGGAAGCCCAATCTATCCAGAATGCGAAAGTTTGGGTGTGAGTGTTATGCTTACAAGCAAAACAAGGGTAAGCTGGATTCTAAGTGTACAAAAGGGATTTTTGTAGGCTACGATAAAAACAGTCCAGCATACAAGGTTTATTTCCCAGACAGCGCCAAAGTGCAAAAGTTTAGGCTGGTTAAGTTTGTAACCAAACACAATGAGGAAAAGCAAACACAAACTGATACGACATCTGAGGATGAAGACATACAGGTGAGGGAGAGACCAAACGTGAACAGGGAAAGCCCCAGTACCAGTTCACAGGAACCAGATACTGACAACCAACCAGAAGTGAACAGTCAGATGCCACTTAGTGATGAGACTGAAAACTCCAGAAGGTATCCTTCTAGAACAAGAAAGAAACCAGATTATCTAAATGAATATGAGTCAGGAGAAGACATTGATGATCAAGTGCTGACTAACATAGACTACTGTTACAGACTGATAAGTAACTCACCCGTGACATTCAGTGAAGCTGCAAGGTCACCCAACTCTAGAGAGTGGAAAGCAGCTATGGATGAAGAAATGCAATCCTTAAAAGAGAACAACACCTTTACCCTAACAATCTTACCTGGGGGAAAGAAAGCAGTGGGGGGGTAGATGGGTATATGTGAAGAAAAACAGTGGTGATGGATCAGAAAAATATAAAGCACGGTACGTAGCTAAAGGTTACAACCAGTGTTTTGGGATAGACTATGATGAAACTTTTTCTCCGACTGCTAACCTGACAAGCATAAGAGTATTGATGCAGTGTGCAATACAAGAAAACCTGATTTTGCATCAGATGGATGTAAAAACCGCATACTTGCATGCACCAATAGATTTTGAAGTTTATGTTGAGCAGCCAGAAGGCTATGAAGTAAAAGGAAAAACAGATGAGAAACTGGTCTACAAGCTAGAAAAGTCACTTTATGGGCTTAAACAGTCAGGCCAAAACTGGAACAGGACATTACATGACTATTTGATAGAGAACGGTTTCATGCAGAGTCCTGTAGATCATTGTGTTTACACAAGGAAAACAGGAAAAGACAAAGTGATCACGATCATATGGGTTGATGATATTATTATTGCAGCCAGTGATGAAAGGGTTTTGAAAACTGTGAAGGAAATGCTAACTGCAAGATTCAAAATGAAAGATATGGGGAAACTCAAACATTTTCTTGGTATTGATTTTGAGCAAACCCAAGATTGTGTAAAAATGTTACAAGAGAGATATGTAGAAAACATACTGGAAAGATTTCAAATGCAAGACTGTAAACCAAGATCAACTCCTTGTGAACAAAGGTTGAACTACAATGATGATGCTGAGAAAATGAACAATGTCAGAATGTACAGAGAGGCAGTAGGTAGCCTTATTTACTTGACCTCTTGCACACGACCAGATTTGAGTTTTGTTGTAAGTAAGCTGTCACAGCACTTCAAAGAACCAGCTGTGGAACATTGGACTACTGTGAAACATGTTCTAAGGTACCTGAAACAATCAAAAGACAAGACATTGTGCTACAGGAAAAGTGACAAAGATTTGAGAGTACAAGGTCACAGTGACTCAGACTGGGCTGCGGATGTGACTGACAGGAGGAGTACTACAGGTTACTGCGTAAGCCTGAATGAAGGAGGTACTTTGGTGTCATGGCGAACAAAGAAGCAGCCAACTGTTGCCTTGTCAACTTGTGAAGCAGAGTACATAGCTTTGGCAGCAACAACACAAGAATGTTTGTACTTGACACAACTGTTGCAAAGCATGTATGAGCATCAAAAGAGACCGCCAAAGATTTTTGAGGACAATCAAGGGACTATTGCATTGGCAAAGAATCCTGTTAACAGACAGAGGTGTAAGCATATCGATATCAAATATCATTTTGTGAGATCAACAGTTAATGCTGGAAATTTGATATTGGAGTATTGTCCGACAGGTCTGATGGTGGCCGATGTTATGACAAAGCCAGCAACAAAGGGGAAGTTATTGAAGTTTGAGAAATATATGTTTGGAGTGTAAACAAATAGTAAAGAAAAACTGTTTCTTTTGGAATGCATGTAAAGCTGACAACGTGAGTGCAAGTGGGGGTGTTGAGCTAGTTAATAGGTATGCCCTCGTTGTCATCTGTTGTGATTTTATTTTGAAAGGATGCTTCCTGTTATGCTGCAGAGTGCACGCGAGAGTTCAATAATAAAAACTAAGTGTTGTTCCGGTGAAAAGCCGATGCCCCGCGTGTGATTATTCCTCCGTCTAGACAATATAAGTATCTTCAATATTCATGCAGATTCCGCTGGAAGACCCGTCTCTGCTAACATCAGCATACAGTTAACATACCTGTTTGTTCCCAGAACTCTGAACACACGACTCTCATCTGTAATTTCTTGTGTTACCTGCACATAAAGTGAAAATTCACATGTGTAATGACTTAGAACTAATATGATAAGCACATGATACGAGCTCAGCCAACGTTGGATGAATTTACTAGTTCATCACCTCATCTGAAACTCCTCCCTTTGAGGCCATGCTTCCAGAATGCCAGCACACTATCCTGCAAGCAGACTGACAGAACAGGAGGTGTCACTCAGCTTTCAGGACACACATCAGCTCTCATTCACTTTGTTTGTCACATCATCATTTCTACCTAGTGTTTCAATGGGGAAGTCAAAGACTATTTCTGCAGCCAGCTGTCTGGATGGAAGTCCTTGCAGGTTCACGATCTTTACAGTTCCTGTCCAAACGGTACACAGATTGAGAATGAGCATGAAAGACATTTGAAGGATTCACAATATGCGAGGGGACTTACTTTCCAAGGTGATGAGAACAGTGTCTCGGTCCAGCTGGGTTACCTGCACGACTCTGAGTGCTCCACTATCTCCTGATGCACGGAAAGAAGGAAGCTTGTTGCAACAAGTTGAAGCTTGAAGCTTCAGGAAGTCAGCAGAGACACGCAGAAACGGTCCTACCTGGCACTGGAACAGGAGCGCCGTTCAGCTCTATAATATCAAACCTGAGCTGTTGGCCGGTTGGTGGTTTATCATTACTACAGTCTCTCACTCCAACACACAGCTGAGAAGAGAATCTGGGAGTCTGATGGCGAGTTGCTGTGAAACAGTCACCAAGGAAAACAAAAAAAATAAATAAATTCTCATGATGGTTAAGTGATGCTTGTTAAACCTGAGCTGAACCTGTTCATACAACCGTCAAAAACAGCACAACAGAATTCTTGTATGATTATTAAATCTTGAGATTAAAGATAAACCGATGCCATCCACCCATCCATCCATCCACCCATCCATCCATCCATCCATCCATCCACCCGTCCATCCGTCCAGCCGTCCATCCATTCATCCATCCATCCATCCATCCACCCGTCCATCTGTTCGTCCAAACATCCACCCACCCATCCATCCATCCATCCATCCATCCATCCATCCATCCATCCATCCATCCATCCACCCGTCCATCCATCCATCCATCCATCCACCCGTCGATCCATCCATCCATCCATCCATCCATCCATCCATCCCTCCATCCATCCATCCAGCCGTCCATCCATCCATCCACCCGTCCATCCATCCATCCATCCACCCGTCGATCCATCCATCCATCCATCCCCTAACTGCACGTCTTTGGACTGATGCCACTTTTCCATAATGTTGTGGCACAGGCGTGTTTCTCCAAGCAGCACTGTGTTAGGACTGCAGACAGGCTTAACACAGAGCTCTGTTCTCACAGTACATACATTATCGTTATGAAATGTGCGAGACATTCACAAAAAAACTGTCAATTATCTGTGCTATGTGATCTAATGGTGCATGCTGGCGTTGAACTGTGTGCTGATAACACTGTTCCTGTAGCACAGAAAACACATGGTAACCATTCAGTTACACGAGCTTGGACCCAGAGAAGGTGCTGTTGGTGTTTTTGGACGGCGTTTATACAACGTTTCTTTTATTTAGTCTCTAAAATCTTGTTGGGCTTGAATAAAAAGTATGCATATGTTATTAAAAAAAATCAATTACATTCTTCAGCTTCAGATTTTGATATGCTGTCTGTCTACTTTTATGTAATTCAGGTCTAATGACTGGTTTGCATTGTGGAAATAGGGTTAGAGTTAGAAAGGAAGACATTTATTCAGGTGGCAAGTTCGACATATCTGTACAAACCTTTAGATGCATGAACTTTTGAAGAGGCTCATACCACAAGAGTAAAACCAGGCCAGATGGGACAGCCCCGCACAGATATGTACTATCTGTGTATGGGTTTCTTCCTGAAACAGAGAGAGCAGGACTAAGTGTCTGCAGTTGTTCTCCGTGAACAAACAGACTGACCAGAGTAACTCGGCATTGCTTACCTACACTGCACCTCCTACAACCTTTAGTGTCAGGAATCTTTACAGATATGGTAAACTTTCTGTGGCCAACAGAGAATATCCAGGTCAGAACAAGCAGACAACATTGGGTTTACAGTATCCTCCTTCCTCAAAATCAAGTGGTAGCATCATACATGACATTATTAACACTGCTGCACCTACAGCTCCTGTTTCCCTGCATCTGTGATGGCGTGTCGTACCTGAGACTGATCCGCTCAGTGAGGCGGTTGGTGCTGAGCGACAGGCTGCTGTGTTTCTTGTGCAGATGTCCTTTCTGTTCAAACAGAGCTGGCAGGCTGTGCGAGTAAAGCTGGGACGACTTCCCTGCAGGATGGAGCCTTTTTAGAGCAGCATATTATCGAGTGGACACAATGTTCTCCGTTTGTGTCACGCTGTTTGTTACCTGATACGGACATCAGCACATTGTTCAGAACATATAGCCATATACATTGCTGAGGGAGGAGCTGTGGGGAAAAGACAAGCAGTTCACTGAGACTTCAAACATCCAGCTTCAGTCATCAGACTGTTCCAGAAACATCATTTCCTGGTTTTCAGTGCTCCTCCTTTCATCAGGAGCTGCACTCCTTACTCAGGTTTTTCAGGGTGATGCGATTAATGACTTGCACTTTTTTGTTATTACTTGCATTTTTACACAATGCTCTTCTACTCTGACTGAAACTTTCAACTACCAGCTTGACCGCGCATCACTCTTTTCTACCTCAAAACGACCAGTTACACATGTCTGCATGAATTCTGCACGCACGTTTTTCACTACAAGCTGCACACAAACACGTGCACACATCCATGATTTACTCCAAACCTAACTTAACCTTCGGCGCTTTTTAACTTTCAACCCCTTCAGTGGAAACATTGGGAGAAGTTTGCCAGTGTGGTATTATAATATTATTTTATGCCACGTTAGACCCCTAATTGAAGATTGTGAATTATTATGTAGTTTTAGTTTGCATTATTCTCCTGAATTAGAAGAAGCTGATAACTATTGCATTTGTTAAACTGATTTGCATTACATTAGACTGCTGATTTATTGTGAATGAATGATATTGTTTCATGATGCATTATACTGCTGAGTTATAAGAAATACTGTTCGCAGAAAGTCATCGCCTTATTTGTCTGATTAGAAGAGAACAGAACATGCTGGAGTTTTCTGCCCCATCTCAGCAGGAGCAGATAAACGGGGAGCCAAGGTCGTAGCTTAGGCGCCGTGTGAGAGAAAGCATGTGAATGTTTAGGCTTTTATGATAAGGTGGGGGCCACTAGAGGCTATAAGAGTCTGATCAATGCTCCACCATTTTGAGATCTGATGCTGTCTGCGTACGGTGTCCATCTCCCACGCGTGTGATCATTAAAATCATCGTTTGACTTAACCCGGTCGGACCAGTGTTGTTATTGTGGTTTTTCCTCTTGTATCCATCCCCAATATTTGAATCCGTAACACCATCAAACTCGTCGTTGGAGGGGAGAGGGAGGGGAAACAGGAGGACAAAGGATGGCGGGAACAACTGAGCTGTAGTGCTTTTTTTTTTTCAACTGTGCAATATTTGCAATATTGTTTTATATTCGACCTTTTTTGTGGGGCAAATAATATTGACACCAGTCATTTTGTGTTTTTCTGAAATTATTCTGTTATTGTGTACAAAATATTAAAAAAATTCAGCTATATATGTTGATGCATGCTTTTATTACCAGTCGCATTGATTGCTGTAACGCCCTGCTCTCTGGTCTCCCCAAAAAGAATATATCACCCTTACAACTTTTACAAAACTGCAGCTCGTGTGCTGACGAAGACCAGAGGGTGGGCCCACAGTACACCGGTTTTAGAATCGCTGCATTGGCTCCCCGTGTGTTTCAGGATCGATTTTAAAGTTCTTTTATTGGTTTTTAAATGTCTTAATGGTCTGCTTCTCTCAATGACTATCGCCCTGTAGCCCTCACCTCAGTAGTGATGAAGTGCTTTGAACGCCTGGTCAGAGACTTCATCATTTCTTCACTACCAGACACACTGGACCCACTACAGTTCGCTTACCGTCCAAATCGTTCCACAGACGATGCCATCTCTCATCTCCTCCACACATCACTCACTCACTTGGACACTAGAAGGGGGAATTATGTTAAAATGCTCTTCATAGACTACAGCTCTGCATTTAATACCATAATTCCCTCCACACTCACCACCAAGTTGGAGCATCTGGGACTCAGCTCATCTATGTGTCAGTGGATCTCCAACTTCCTAACTGGCAGACCACAGGCAGTAAGGATGGGCGGACATGTCTCAGCCTCCACCACTCTCAGCACTGGAGCCCCCCAGGGGTGTGTTCTGAGCCCCCTGCTGTACTCTCTGTACACATATGACTGTGTGGCCACTACCAGCTCCACCACCATCATCAAGTTTGCTGACGACACCGTCGTGGTGGGCCTGATCTCTGATAACAACGAGACGGCCTACCTGAAGGAGATTAGGAATCTGGAGAACTGGTGCCAGAGGAACAACCTCCTTCTAAACGTCAGTAAGACAAAGGAGCTGATAGTGGACTTCAGCACTAAGCAGGAGAGGAACTACCAGACCCCCGTCATCAACGAGTGCCCAGTGGAGAGAGTGGACAGCTTCAAATACCTCGGAGTTCACATCACGCAGGACCTGTCATGGTCCTGTCACATCAACACCGTGGTGAAAAAGGCCCGACAGCGTCTCTACCACCTCAGACGCTTGAGAGACTTCCAACTGCCCTCCAAGGTGCTCAGGAACTTTTACTCCTGCACCATAGAGAGCATCCTGACGGGAAACATCTTAACCTGGTTCGGGAACAGCACCATGCAGGACAGACGAGCTCTACAGAGGGTTGTGCGGTCAGCTGAGCGCACCATCCGCTCCGAGCTCCCTGACCTGCACTCAATCTACAGCAGGCGGTGCTGGACCAAGGCCAGGAAGATGGTGAAGGACCTCAGCCATCCCAACAACAGACTGTTCTCTCTGCTGAGGTCAGGAAAGCGATTCCGCTCCCTGAAGACCAACACAGAGAGACTGAGGAGGAGCTTCTTCCCGCAGGCGATACGGTCTCTCAATCACACCACCACACAGTACTGACCCACACATATGGTTCTTACACACACACTGGACTTTCTGGACATTGTTTTCACTTCATCACTTAAATCACTTTAAGCATATTTGCACTGCACAAGACATAATGTGGATTGCACAACACTGGTCACTATATTCTTCATTTCCAGTTAATACTTGTACAGCTGCTGTTATTGTGTATATATTTATTTATTTATATTTCTTCATACATTCTTATATAGTTCTATATTGTGTATTTTGTTGTACAGTTATTTTATTTTCAACTTTAATTTATATATTTTATCTTATTCTCCCAGTTAAATTTACCCTTCATTCTAATTTGTGTTGTACAGTTATTTCATTTTTAACCTTAATTTATATCTTATTCCCTCCTAGTTAAATTTACCCTTTTTAATTTTTCCTATTTATTTCCTATTTATTTCCTTTTTTTTTTTTTCTTTAGGTCACGAGCAGTTGTCCAAGCATTTCACTGCATATCGTACTGTGTATGACTGTGTACGACTGTATACGTGACAAATAAAATTTGAATTTGAATTTGATTTGGGCCGTCTTATCTCTCAGATCTGCTTTTACCATACGAACCCTCGCGGACCTTGAGGTCCTCTGGTACTGGCCTTCTGACTGTTCCCAAAGACAGCACACATACTCACGGAGAGGCAGCTTTTCAGTGGTATGGTCCTCGTCTGTGGAACAGCCTGCCGGAGGAGCTCAGGGCCGCAGAGAACGTACATGTTTTTAAGAACAGGCTCAAGACCACCTTTTTAATTTATCTTTCACCTAACATTTATTTATTTTATGCTTATTTATTCTATCCTGTTATTCTATTTATTAATTTAGGTTTTACCTAATATTTATTGATTTTATTCTTACTCATTTTTTATCTTCTTACTATTTCTATTGTATCCCGTTCTTATTTACTTTATCTTTTTACCCTGTATATATCCTATTGTGTCATATCTCCAGTGTTTCCTCGGAGGGGGCTCTCTGCACCGGGACTGTGATCGACCGTGGCTGCTGGGGCTCTGGGGGGTCCTCTCAGCCTGGCTGGGGGGAGATATGTGTATTCATGATTGTTTATGTTAATGAGAGTGTGGGGGGTTAGTTGGAGGGCGGGGTGGGCTGCTTTTAACCATGTAAAGCACTTTGTGCTACTTTTTTTGTATGAAAAGTGCTTTATAAATAAGGATTGATTGATTGATTGATTAATTTCCCAGCATTGGTCATTATATCCTGTATTTTGCAGACAGAGAGTTACAGACTCTCTCCCAGACCACAGACTCATAATACAAGTCAGAGCTTTATAAAAATAAAAAAAAAGTTGTGTTTTCGAAATTGGAGTTCAAGTTATTTGTACTTCCAATAGTGTTAACATACTACACAGGTCATGAACAAGATTTCTTTTACATTTTCATTGTAAATGGGCTGAAGCAGTTCATTAAAAGTAGTCTAACATAAATGTAAACGCTGTAATTTGATTATTTTAATAAACCATGAAACTTGGATGGATTCGATGCCGGTGTGACCACAGTGCACACGTCTGCTGTCGCTCACAGTGGTCCAAGGAACCGCTCAGGGAGTTTGTGTGTTCGCTCAGACACGTGAAAAATTAAAGGGAACATTGGGCCTCTGACATTCAGTACCCAGTTATTAAAATGTTAAGTGTAAATCATCCCCAGCCCACAATAGCAGCTGAATTTACTACGATTTCAGATCTTTTTACACGTCAATAAGAAACCACCGATGTGTAAAACAGGCTGACAACAGAATGACGTAAACCACACTGCTGCAACTGTGCAGCTCTCAGGTTTTATTTATTGTTTCTCTGTGTGGCCAGCAGGGGGAGGTGTTTTTTTTGTTTTTTTTTAATATTAATGAAAACATTTTTCATGAAAGTTGCAAATTTGTTATCTGTTTTTATGACATTTTTCACTGTGGATTACAACAACATCAACATTAGAAAATGAAATACATTTATAGTAGGTGATCATTAATCACTATTATTGGCACTATTAAAGGGCCCCAAAAATCAAACTTTGCTTAGGGCACCACGGAGGGCCAACCCTTTTTACACTTCAACGATTGTACACAAAATACAATCATCCATCCTTCTATCTATTTATTTTTGTCCACTTATATAATTCAGCATCACAGGGAAGCTGGATCCCAGTTGTTTTTCACAGAGGGCCAAGCAGTGGAGGGAGCTGCCGACCTCCCAGCAATACATGTAAAAGCTTTATTTTATGCTGACTCTGGTCATCTTTATCTATCATAAAAATTTGCTTCACGATCTGAAACACGTAAGTGTGGCAAATATGCAAATAGCTAAGAAATCAGGATGGGGTAAA